CAACTATGATGGCAGCCAGCGTGCTGGCTTTGCCATCTGGACAATGGCAGCCAGCGTGCTGGCTTACCCACTTCGACTATGATGCTAGCCAGCATGCTGGCTTTGCCATCTCAACAATTGCATCACCACATGCCGCACTGCAGACTGAACAAGAACGTGTGAATCATCTGCCTCTGGTCATCCTGGTTGACGCTGAAGAAGTGGTCGTCAACAATGCCAAGGTTCCCTGGCATGATGGCTGGGCAAAGAGGAATAAGAAGGCTCTGGTTCATGTGCGATTGCAAAAGCTTGTGGGTTGCGTGAACCTTCTTCCAAGTATATTCGTCACTGCTGTTGAGTAGATATTTGAGTATAACCAACCACTATGCTTGTCATTGAGTAATTGACTGTCTCAGAGAAATTGACTGTTTCAGAGAAAAACGTGACAAAGTAGCGTGAAGTGACACACAGCAGGCACTGTAGATGTTTTAGCGCACTCTCGTTGTTCGGCTCGCGACTAGTCTTTGTACACAGCAAGGATAGCGTAGTGCTTCCGCAGAACGACGTCCACACAGAATTTATCAGGAAGAAGTCACGGCATGAGACACACAGTTGGTTGGGTCTAGCGCGTCCACCCGAAGCAGATCTGGATGGTGTAGGCATCTGTGAAGTTGCGGCTGTTGTTCCTAACCCAGTCTTCCCATCCACTGGACCACTGGACCACTCGCCAAAACTGCCAGGTTTCTCCATGGGCAACCCAGCATCTGGTTGCTATGGACTGGTTTGGCCATCTTTCATGGATGAGCTCTGGCTGGTCGTCATGGTATGTCCTGCTTCCATAGGACCAACAGAGGCACACCTGTCTCTGGTTATCCAGGTTGGTATACAAGAAGTGGTCGTCAACAATGCCAAGGTTCCCTGGCATGATGGCTGGGCAAAGAGGGAGACCTACGAGCTAGTGGGCTGTAAAGTAGTAAATAGCGCACGCATAGCCATAAGAAGGCTCGGTTTGCCTGGTAAAGGTTTATGTGGGAAATGAATATTGCAAAAGCTTGTGGGGCGCGTTCAAACTTCTTGCTAGTATATTCTTCATTGCTGTTGAGTTGATATTGTTGTAGTTGGCCCAAGTTGTATGGAGACTTCTGCAATGTCACTGTGAGCCTCGAAAGGTCAGTCACGGAAAACGCACAGTCTGTTGGCACAGGCGCTCTGAGGGTGACATGTGCTTCGCTCTAGATGTAATTGAGAACCACCATGCTGGTCATTTTCCAATCGCCTCTCCTACAGAAACATGCAACAAAGTAGCACGAGGTGACACATAGCAGGCACTGCGCATGTTTTCGTATCCTCTGGTCGTTCAGCTCGCGACTAGCCCTTGTATAGGGCAGAGACTCCCCGACACTATGTCTATACTTGTCGTGCTTCCGCAAGAAGAATTCGTGGTATGAGACATGCAGTTACCATGTGAACATCTAGGTGACACTCTGCGTCGGGGAGACTCTCACTGCGTTGTCCGCTCCGGAGACACGGCGGCGACCATCTGGGCCAACTGGGCGGCGTCGAGGGTGCCATCTGGTGACACGTCCGCCAGTGGGATGCGGAGCGGGGGGTCCACCTGAACAAACCTGCCAGTCTGGTCGTGGTAGCCGCTGAGTTCGATGCAATCGGGCGGCGTGGTATTAGCAGCGCGGGCCGCTTCCCACGACCGCCCAAGACGCTGGCATGGTCGACAGATAAGGTGATCTGCATCGCACTGGGTACAAACGGCGTTGCACGGCCGCAGCGAACAAGCCTCGCACCAGGAATGCGTCCACTGCCCGCAAAGTTCGCAAGGCTGGGCTCCGAGGTCTCGTCCGGGTAAGTTTTCAGCCGCAGTGACCAGCGCAAACGCCGCCCTCTTGGGAAAAGATCGCCGGCGCTCCTCGCGTGGCACTCCGCGATGGTCCTCGCGTGGATGTAGGCGCAACCAAACCTTCGCTTCCGCCACCCACGCTTCCCAAGCCACTGGGCGCAGGGCAGTCATGGCACGGCGGCGTGGTGAGAGGAATGACGACGAGGTGTGCTTACAAGTGACTGGCTGCGAAGCACCGGAACCCAGTTTCCAAGTAGCACTGACGCAGCGTACAATCGTGTGTACTGTGGTATTCGTCTTCGGCCCTCGCCCGTCCTCGCCTTCTTGTCGAAGAGCACACCTGGCGAGAAAAACAAGCGAGTTGGCGAGAAACCTCTCAGATGTCTCTTGTGCTAGGCTGTTTCATGCAGCTCAGTGTGGCACCGCGCCGATGAATTTGTCTTCGTCTTCTGCCCTCGCCCGTCCTCGCCTCCTGGTAGAAGAGTACACCTGGCCGGAAAAAAAACAAGAGCTTTGGGGAGAAACCAAGAAGATATCTCCTATGCTAAACTATTTGCTGAGATTAGAGGCTGAAGCTCACGGCGGCGCCGCGCCTATTTTTGTTTGCCTGCGCCGTCTAGTCCGCGCGACGACACTTCTGCAGAACAGCGTCCATGCCGTCGCGGTGATACATTTTCGCAGAGCGGCGTCCATGTCCCGAGCCTCTCAGAGACTCAAAGCCGCGTGAGCGTGCTTGGATAGCAAAGTCTCCCAATGCTTCAGTGCCCATAGAATATAGTCTCGATTTTTCCATGGGCGCAAGGAAGGTCGGCGCCGCAAAATCTGTTCAATGGCTTCCTGCGCCTGAAGACCTTCCCTGGCCATCAACGTCGCAGCCAGTGCCGCGGGGCTGCGATGTATGCCGCCGAAACAATGGAAGAGCACGACTTGTTTCTTCCCCAGCATGGCGCGCCTGGCATTCAAAGTGCGTGCGATCTCTGACCACACCCGACAGTTCTTCTGGGCCTGCTCCGTGTACAGCGTCGGATCTTGGGCGACTTTGACCGTCAAATCGTCCAGAGCGTAGACACATTGTTGGGCACTGTGCAGGCGTAAATAGGCATCCCAACTCTCTGGTGTCCCTTTGGCCTGCAACTCCTTGGCACAGAGCGTCACGAGCGTGTTCACTTGGACGCCGCAGATATACGCCACTTCGGCCAAGTTCGCCGCCTACTTCAGACTGCCCAGGACATACACCATATCGCTCGACTCATAGACGATGGTCGCGTCCAAGGGCCACGCACGGAGATCTCCCAAATTGTAAGAATGGTTCCACATGACACGATCCAGATGCCTCCATGGCCCATGGTAGAAGTACGTCTGAATGAGATCCTTCATATCGTCGATCCACTCTTGCGCACAAAGCTCCACAGGCAAATGTGGCAGGGATGGCTGCAGGTGATTCATACCAGGGCAATCTGTCCGAAGCCTAGATGTTATGAATACTGGAGCCAAAAAGCTATAACCCTGAGAGAAATGGTTAGTTGTTGTTGAAATGGGCAAGAACCAGAAACTAGTGCCAACAGAAGCGCGCGTGCTATCATAGATGTAAAGCCGAGCTTTTCTCTCTGGGATCCCGCGCCTCGCTGACGCGTTGCGTCCACCGCAGTGCCGAAGTTCGACAGAAGCACGTCCATGCCTTGAGAGACAAGAGAATAGAAGAAAAACAACGAAAGGAGCGCGTGATGCAGTCTTCTGGTCCAACTTTCACGCTAGCGTCGATCTAAAGCTAAGCTTTTCTCTCTGGGATCCCGCGCCTCGGTGTCGCCCTGTGTCCACCTCCGTAAGAACTTCCGCAGAAGCGTCGGATCTGGAGCAACACGCAAAGCAGACTATAAGACAGAAGCAGAGTTCTCCGGCGGACTATTATGCAAGTTGAGACAATTACAAAGGACAGCGCTCCCTAACAGATAATTGCCTCGAAGCTTGCTGAAATTGCAAAGCCAAGTGTAACAGAGAACCAGAGTTCTTCTCATCACCATTGCAAAAAAGAAACTTGAGTAGAAGCAGCTATCTAAACATATAAAACGACATGCAGAGAAAAACATGAGGAGCTAAAGGCAACAAGTGTGTATCCGCCTTGAAACAGAGTCTCTCCAAAAGTACCGGTTGTGTCGTCAGGCGCACGGAGACTCGTCGTTTTCTGCCGGCTGCAAAGTCACGGACACGCAGAGCGTGGGTCGCTGACACAAACTTTCGTAGAACGACGTCCGTCTGTGTCGACGTCCCTTCAGCTTCCCCGTCTAGGTGCCCGTCGTCGCGGTGCGAAGTGGAAGACAGGCAAATTTCCAAGGTACTCGACATGGAGGTCGCCTCGCTCCACGTCTTGCCGCCAAGCCGGGATGAATTCAGATAAAACATCACTCGGTTGGACTTCCAGACAGCCGTGGTGATCTACATTGACCAAGGACACATCACTGGCAGTCATGGAAGTTCCTCGGACAACGTAGGCGAGAAGATCTGCAACAGTATAGAAGCCATCTTGCAGGTATGTGTTACATCTCTCCTCCACGTGGAAATAGATCAGAAGATACATTTCCGGATAGTTGCATCCCAGCCGGACCAGCTCACCATCCGGCCTCTCCAGGTGCAGCACAGCTGTTTGCTGAACAGTTAATCCAGCCCAGAAAATACTCGGCGCCGAAGTGTCATGGCTCTGACTTGGAGATCGAGATCTTCTCGGGGCAGGCGCGTCCACGCGCGCGTCCCAGTGCGTGTCTGGCAGAATGTCTAGCAGCGCATTGACTTGAGT